AAATATATAGACAAAACAATTCCTAAAAAGATCATTTCAACCAGGAACTCTTACCTCCTCACACTTAAACGGAACCACGCCCTCGTGGCTAAAAGTATTTTGGAATTGGAGTTAATGGTTGAAATGCTCACATGCAATTACTAAGTTATCTCAATACTTACAAGATTCAACGATGAAGATTGAAATAATAGATAACCATAACATGAAAATATGAAATAATGCATAAAATATTCTCAAAATGGTTTTAAGAGTCATGTTGTGAAATTCCAAAATAAAAATCATCAAGCATCCAAATCGTGTTCAAAATAGTAGAGAAAAAGAGACTTTACTGAGGAAGTCAATATTCTCTCAGTAGCCAACTTCAACCAGGACTGTTGGATCAAGAAGCCTCGAAGGTTGCAGAAACCTTGTGCTTTCCCCACCTGAGACCTCTTCTTCGCTCCCACTGTAAGGTATGCCCTACAATTCTCTCATCTGCAAAAGCAAAGACAACAAACAAAATAACTCTTGCCCCCAAAACTGGTGCGGCAAGCAAAGCCTCAAAAACTAACAAATAAAACTATTGAATTTATTTAATTATTTTAGTTATTTGAATGATGGGTTGCCTCCCGTTAAGCGCTTCTTTAACGTCCGTAGCTCGACGCTTACCCACTTTTTCCGTGACTTTCCGATCCGAGAGTCATAAAGTTTGGCCCTTCTGACTCTCTTCTGATGCCACCTTGTTTGATTTCTTGCTCGGTCAAGGTCTAGGATCCTTGACTCATCCCTGCGGCTTGGTGGCAACAGGATAAAAGGAGGAGACTCTAGATAGATGGGTGGTGGCGGAAGTCTCCTTAGTTGATCCACATCATTGGCCTTCATAGCGATATTGATTTCTTCCTTGCATTCAATGGGCTGACCATCCATTTGTGGTTCAATGATTATGACCGTGCCTTCCCCCAAGGAAGAGTCCTCGTTGTCACTCACCAAAAGTTCATCCCAACTCTTTAAGCTCCAACCATCCTTCGGGCAGACATAGTCGCACCCGTCAAGTAGGGAGTCAAAGAAGGTTTGGTCTGAAGCTTCAGATGAATCATTAGTTGTGCAGGTTTCTATAGACAAAATTGGTTCATCAGTGCAAAGTACTTCATCGTCTGTAGATTCCTGCTCGGACTCAATGGAATCTTGGGGGCAGGTAATGGGCTCTACTTCCTCCAGAACAGGTTCCTCTGGAGGTGTGTCTTGAACACAATTAAGGGGATGGTCGTTTATTGCCATAGGCAAAACTTCCTCCTCCTTCTGTTCTTGAATAAGCATAGGTGGTTCTGAGTCAGGTCCCTCAGTTGGTTCCACCTCATGTACGACTATGCTGGTTGGGACTTGGCTAGGCAGGGATTCAGGTAACCTCACCACAGTAGCCCTAGCGAGAGTTGTTATGCTCTCGGGTTTCTGTGATGGTGTAGAACTGGGTGAATCTTCTAGAATTGGAACCTGTTGGTTGATGGGTTCAAGGTTGGTCTTAGGTTCTAGAGCCTCTTTTTGAACATTAATCTCCCTCATTTGATCTTGAGGTTGGAGGGAGCGTTTAAGTTCAATAGCCTTGCAGAGATTGTTGACTAATTTATCAGCTTTAGCCTCAGCTTCTAGTCTCTCTCTTTGAAAGTCATCTAGCATTTTCTGCATCATATCTGATCCTTCGCATAATCTCCTTTCAAACTCCTTTTCCTTCCGGACTGATTCAAGAAGTTTTGCTCTTTCTCGAATTGCCACCTTGTTTGCCTCAATTTGTTCTTCAGCAAGCAGGGTGTAGTCACGGCAGTAGGGTGGTTCGTACCAGGAGCCTTCAGCGAATAAGACTTCGTCGAAATAGAAAATTTTCTATTCTAATCTTATGATCTCTTCGACGAGTGGATCAGATTGATCGTCGCACATAGGCCCAAATTGGTCATAGTCATCTTGGTCACCATGAGGTTCATAATAATTATCCCCATCAGAATCTTGGTATGGAGAATATCCAACTTTTCTAGATGGGGTATCATATGGTGGTTCCTCATGGTAAGGATAGTAGTCAGACCCATTGTCGACTTGGTAGTCATCATCATATGGGTTCTGATGTGGGTGGTAAGGTGGATGGTACGGAGGGCGGTTGGGTGATTGGTAGTAAGAAGGCGGACCGTAATAACCACTAGAATTATCCATAATAATTATTACGGGTGGTTGGTGAAAAAGAAGTGAGAAGATCGTTCTAACCAATCTTCACCCAAGCTAATCAGAAGAAATTAAACTAATGCCGTGCCACTCCCCGGCAACGGCGCCATTTGACAGTTGTAGTTTTCGGGTAGTAAACCTTCCCAACAAAGGGTCAGTTTTCTCTCCGAGTGTCGTATCTCTCGAGGAGTGGACGAAGGGAATTAGTTTAATCACTCTAATTAGGCGAAGATTAGGATTGGTTTATGAAAGTCTTCTCGGAACGACTATAAAAAAGGCAAAGTAAAAATAAATAAATTAAGTTTACATAGTATAAGTATAGATCTGGACCTAGGGTCTGGACGTCATTTGAATTTATTTTATCATATTAAATTAACAATTGAAATAATAATATTTCTATTACTACTCATCCATTTCTAGATTTGTACTTAATCCGTTGACAGTTGAATATCATAGCCTTTTGGCATACAATATTTTCTCAATAAATGGCCAATTAAATCTTTCGAGAGTAATTAACCAGATAAGGCAAGAACAACAGATTAACCATTCCAACATTAATTTAACATCAAAAATAAACAACCA